CAACCATTCGCATTCAAACATATAATTATCCGCTTAAATTTTGAGCTTCTTTTGTTAATAAAATAAAAATAAAAATAAATACACAAATAAAACAACCGCTTCGATAAATATTAAATAATTGTCTTAAGAATACTATTATAAAATTTTATTAAAATCGACCATGTAGTTTCTAAAATATTTTTGGTACCGATTGCGAAAATTTCATTTCGAAAGAAATGTGTTTAAAGTTTCAGTTATATTAAATAATTATTGAATTCGGTAATTTACTAAATGTCTAAATAGAATTGGGAAAATATTTTAAAAGGATTTCACTAACAGATTACATCATTTTTAAAAAATTGATTTTTGTACCTAACCAAGAGCACCTATGTAACATTTTTTTAATGTTCATTGTAAAACTTTCTTTTAATGTTCATTTTAATTCTTTACCATGTAATTTCTTTCATAACTACGTTTGCTAAATTTATTATTTCAAAGAAATACATAGTACATGTTCTATCGGAACGAGCCAATGATATTTGTTTGCGGAGACGTAGAAAATATAGTCATCATATACGTCAATGACTTAAGGTCAACTGAAATTCATTATTGATGAAGTTTCATTAAATTTTTTGGAAGAATAACAATGGTGCTCGACAAATTAAATTTTTCTCTATTAAAACTTATCGAACCATACAGAAGATGGATTATAGAAAATCCAAAGTTACTGGCCGACTTGGAAGAAACGGTTCAATGTTTATCTTACTTCACAGCTGGTTAGAAAATGTTTCATTTTTAATAAAATAACGTTTACGTTTCAACATTTTGTAAATGAATTTTTGTCTAGGACGCTTCAATAATTCCACATTGACATCAGAACTTATTTACTCTCTATCGAATCTAATAGTACTTTTTAATGATTTGTTAATGTGCAGTGGGAAGCATTTACATTTAAAGTTTCCTCAGTTTAAGTCAAAAATTAAAATTTGGCTGACGGTTGTGGAATATACAGAAACATTGTTTGAGATCTCTGTTAAAAAGCAATGGGGGAATACTGGTAGATGGTTCATAATTATTGTAATTCAAGTATTCAAGTGAGTTGATAGTATTTTAGAATTATTGTGCTTGTAAAAATTAAGAAAGGACATTGAATGATATGGAGACATTTATGTATAAAAGTATATAAATTTTTATCAGGGCTGTGTTAAGACTTTTGTTAATACATGTGTACAAAGAAAAGATAGTAAAAAGTCCTCCACTGAAACCACTTAATAGAGATAAGTTAAATGAGTCCGATGAGGTGAAAATAAAAGAAGGATTTACATTGAAACGATCTGGCACTGTTATTAGAAGCGTAAGAGGTACAAATTCTGTGCACAAGCGCACATGGGAACCTTTGTCTTCTAATATCAATGATAATGATAATTTAAACTCTTCCGTTAAATTGGAAAGAAATATTGCTTTAGCAGAGGTAAAAAATTATATTGCACATTACAGATTATTGGTTAGTCTTATTAATTATATTTAATGTGTTTTGTCTTGTTTTTAGAGTTTGTATATTATGAAACCACTATTCCATTTGGGCTGTATATCTGTAACTGGTGAGAAACAATGGCCACCGTGGTTATTATCGTTAGTCATTGATTTGCTTAGGTAAATAATTTACCATCATCAAAAGAAAATATAAATTATATTGTAGAATAATATACGACAATAATTCGTTTTTCCAGTTTACACATATTTAATAAGGAAGTAAAGAAAGCTGTATTTAGCAAAGAAGATGAACGAGAACTATACAGACGGAGATTAGCCTTACTGCTTTATATTTTAAGATCTCCATTTTACGATAACTGTAGTCGACTTAGAATATATGCTTTTCTTACTGCATTGTCCAAAAATGTGCCTTTTGCCAGGTTCATAGCAGAACCAATAAAAAGATATCTTCCACATTGGCAGAGCACATACTTTTATGTGTGGTCCAACTAATTCACAAAGTTATTATTTATTGGAAAGGCTCAGGAATGGTAATAGGAAATGTTATATGAAGGATAATAAGAAATGTAAAGAGAAAAAGGTAATAATTTAACTTGAAGGACTGATTCATTATTATGAGTGATATAGATATCAAAATTAAGAAATTTTTGTTTATGAAAATGAGGGTGCAGGTGAAGTAAAATATGTTTTACAATTTAATGTAGCATTTATGGATTTATAAATTCCTATATTTTAATCATTGGAAAAGTTACAAATATTACCTTAACTTGGTAACAGAAACAACAAAAAATCATGGGGGAATATTTGTAGCATTTTGTATTTACTACTTAAAACTGTATGTTAGTTTAGGTTTGAACATCCGCTTACATTTCTCAGCATAAAAAGTTATGAATATACGTGTTCACCTTTGATACTACCATATTTTTATAAAGAATATAATTTATATAGAATTTTGTTACCGAAATGAAAACTACTTGATTCTATCTTTTTTTTAAATATACAGATTGCTTAGACGATTCTTATATGTACAATAAACATAGAAATAAAGGATCAATAAATACGGGAAACATTGAAAATGTTACTTTCACAGAAAATATATTTCCCTGCCCGATAAAGTCTTATGAATCTCCTTACGAAACTTCCTAAACGTTAAAATACCATAAAATGCATGGTAATAGATCGCACATATATTACATTCTGAAAGGAATACAGCATAGCAGAAAATACAAATATGGCCTTTGGAATTAAATAGAATAATTCGCATAAAAAAGCTACTTATTCACACATCTGAAGTAATGAATTTATAGTTGCATCTTTTTTCCCTTGATTCACATCGTAAACAGATTTAATTACTTCTTTGTCCACATTTGGGAACATTTCTGAAATCTGTAATTAATATATTTACATTAAAACTCATCATTCGATACATGAAATATTAATTTGTTGTTTGAATCAAAATGATATTATGTTTGTACACTAAATAATATTTAAGAAGAACTATAATTTAATAGTACCTGTTTCAATTCAACTTCAGCATTTGGCGTAGAACTGGGCATAACAGGTGGTGGTGGTGGTGGTATAGCAGCTGTGGATGGTGCTGCATAAACATTTACTGGTGCATGTTGTCTTCCTATACCAAACATCGTTGAAGACGGAACCATCATAACAGGTGGTACACTCATGTATGGGTGGCCTTTGGTCTATTGAAAGTAACAAAAAATATAGTAAAATGATCAATATATTTTTTTATTTTATCAACAACAGTCATTACCGTATAACTAAAAACTAGATTTATCATTCCCTCTTGATTAGCTCCTTGTTTTCCACTGAGCATGTACCAATCTTCACGTGTCTCTCCTTTTTGAAGCACTTGGGGTGGAATGTCTACATGGCCCCATGCTATTAACTCGTCCATTACAAAAGAACATTCATCATAGATTTCTATGTATATTTGTGTAACTCCAGGTGGTAAATAGCTACAATAATAGAAAAAGAATATACATGATAAATATATTTGAAAATGTGTGTGCATTCCTTAAAATATATACCATTGAATAACTTTGTTCCAATGCGGATTCTTTGCTCCATTCGAGCATGTATGTGTCTCATAAACTGCATGACCTACTCTCATTCTCACATATGGATCCATTCTGATCATCCCATAGTTTTTTACTAGTTTAGCCTACAGGAAGTATCTTTTTGAAATTATGAATAAAATATTATTACAAAATACATGTATATCGATTCAAAGGATATATTGAAATATATATATTAACCCAAAAGCTGACAGATTACCTGGACAATCGTTATACTGAGTCTACCAATTTGCATTTGCATTTGATGAAGCGCAAGTGCTGCCTGTTCATCCGCAGCTTCTTGTTGTTGCTGGATAATACGTTCTTCTACTCTAAGGAATCCCTGAGGAAGCGGGCCCAGAAAGGCCTGGAAAATTGAATTTTTCTGGTCCAATTATTTCACATATTGAAAATATACAGGCAACCACGGATAATTCTAGAATATTCACATTTTATTTTAACATTCATAAATAATTTGCATTGATATTTAATAATATATTCTTCGTTATCGTTGTCGCGCAATCTAAATAAAATTGCATTATTTTCTGATGAAATTTGACTATTGCGATACTGTCAATATGAATTGCACTATTTACCCGTTTTTTCCATTCTTCATACAAATCTGACCGTCTCTCGGTTTCCATTACAAAATAATTTAAGGTTTCAACAAAATTAAAAATTTCTTCGTCGTTCGATACACAAGAACTACTGTCACAATGAAAATGAAACCTGTCACACTACGTGAACGTTTTGATGCATCGAAACAATCATAATACACATATGACACGGTGACAGCACGCCATCTTAGAATACTCTTACAAAAAGAGGTCGCGGATGGAAATGAGCGCTTCTTGAACTTATTTTTCGAATTAAAACTTCAGTTCTTTTATTAGATATTCGCAAATGAATTGAGGAACATTACGGAAGCATTTGATCCGCCATTTTTATAAAAGAAACTAACACCTTCGCCTGATAAATATTTCAATATCATCAAACAAAAGTTTTTGTTTTAAATGTAAAATGTTAAATAAAAGAAAAAAAATTCTTGTGTCATCGTTTTTTAAAATTCATTTTTTTATAGTCATGCAAAAACAGAAATTTAAATTGCAAAATATTAAGGATATTCTTTATTTATCATTTCTATTGGAAAGAATAACTGTAAATATATAAATATAAATAGAACCAAATTTTCTAAAATTAACGATACGTGAACAGAAATTTTTATATTGTACCGCAGGTAATATTTGTATTAAGAATTAACATTTTTGTTAAAATTTATAAGGTTGAGGTCATGTAAAGGTCACGATTATGATGATCATTTATCCCACGTATATCATACTTAATTGGACCTACAACGAATTGTATTAAAATTGTATAGTGTAAGGAAGAGAGAGCATAACGAGAGCAGGAAAAATATATATTAAATACACAAAATTATTATTTGTCGTAAAAGCCGCGCGGAAGCCATTTTGCAATTGAGATACAATTATCTCCCTCTTTCTCTCTCTGTTTTTCAGTTAGCCGACTGATTTCTCTTTCTGTTTCATTGAAAAAATCATAGAGTGTGAAGTGTATTCAGAGTATTCTTGACAAGTCGTTCACTGGCGTGACGTCTGGGTTCTCAGTAATCGGGAACTTCTGGAAAATATTTGTTTGAAAAAGCAGAGCCGGTAGTTTCTTTTAATTTCGAATTCGTTTGACCTTTTCCCCATGTTCTAGTCATTTGCTCGTTCTATTTGTGATTGCGATTTTTTCCCCGCGATAAATTCCGAGAACGGTTACGTGTTCTTCCATATTTTTGGTGAAAGAAGATTTCAACGAACCATCCCAGAATCATGTCACATCAAACGGGAATCAAAGGTATCGTTATCGTATCATAATCCCAATTTAATCATTTGAAAATTTCATTGATATATTAACCTCAATTTGGTAACAACATCGGAGCTAACAATGGTTTGTTTATTGTAGCGAATGATGCTCTGAAGAAATTGTTTGCCAAATGTCGTGACGGAAAACTACGAGTTTTGAAAGTTTCCATAGAGAATGGTAAGTTTATTTCTCCAAATTCCGACTGTAATGGATTTGTGAAAATTTTTAAGTAATCAAATATTTGACAATTTGAAAGGTTTTCATATACGTTTTTTTATCTTACAGAGGAATTAACACCTGCAGCTTCCTCTAAGCCTATAAGCAAGTGGCAAGATGATTACGATAAATTGATTAAACCTCTGATTGTTGAAAATCAACCTGCGTATATTCTCTATAGACTTGACACTAAATCCTCTGATTCTGGTTATGATTGGTTATTTATATCTTGGTCTCCTGACACTGCACCAGTTAGACAAAAGATGCTTTACGCATCAACTAAAGCAACCTTGAAACAAGAGTTCGGTACAGCTTCTATAAAAGATGAATTGCATGGTACCGTGCCTGAAGATATAACATTGGAAGGTTACTATAAGTACAAGAGAAATGATGCAGCTCCAGCACCATTAACAACTGCAGAAGAAGAATTAGCAGAACTTAAGAAGAACACTGTCAGCACTGATTACAGCGTTGAAACAAGACATCAAACATTAAGTGGTGTTTCTTTTCCTGTGACAGATGAAGCAAAACAAGCGATTACAGAGCTGGGTAAAGGTATACATGAGTATGTTCAACTGAAGATCGACTTGGAAGAAGAGAAAATACATTTGGTCATAGCTTGTGATGTTTCATTGGATAAACTGCCAACAAAAGTTCCATCGGATTCTGCTAGATATCACCTTTATAATTTTAAGCACACTCATGAAGGAGATTACATGGAGTGTATTGGTATGTAACAGAATGAAATGCATTGTTTTTTTCATTGAATAATGTTTCATACATATGTTACAGTTTTTATATATAGTATGCCTGGATACAGCTGTAGTATTAAAGAAAGAATGTTGTATTCGTCGTGTAAAGCACCTCTTCTAGACCTCATCCAATCACTCGGAGTGAATATTACAAAAAAAGTAAGTAGAAAAAGTTGTTTATGGCTTAATTATGTTTCCTAACTTATTCTCGTTTCATTTACTTGCTTCTGGATAAACACGTTAACAAAATTTCTTAATACCATTAATTGTGTGGGTATTTGTACAGTTTTTAAATAATTTAATTTTTGACTTATAGTAATTATATTCTGTGGCATGTTGATGAAGAGTTGGCACAGATGAGGAATTCGGATCTAATTGGTCAGAGTGAACAGAGCGCGTTTTTTTTATATGCATTTTTGTCAGTAATCAAATAATTTATTATATTGTTGTGTACGTAACGAATACAATATAACCGTATTCGTCAATACGGTGTTTCGGAATTATACGGTGATTCGGAATTGATGATTTTATGGAATCAGTACCGTAAACACATAGCGAAAAATTCTTCTTGCCTCTGTGGTGTCTTAGGTGCCAACTTTGCATCAATGCATAGTACATAGAAGTAGAAAGAATAAAACACAACTTCTATTTCCTTCTTTTTGTACTTTTATATTATACAGTATTTTTTTTCTAGTTTCTACTCTTTTTTTATGTATATTAACATCAGAAAGTAAAGTATCATTTTTTTTTTAAATTTGGACAAATCCTAGTTGGAAGTAAATAGTGGCGAAGAATTGGCAGACATGTTGGAAGCTCCTCCAACCATAAAAGAAACAGCTGCTATAACTCCTGCAACTCCATCAACACCCTATGCTCCTACTCAATCTATATCAGAGAAAAAATCAAAGCAGAAGCGATCTTGTATTTTGAGTTAACCGATTCTATGTACTTTGATTGCCATTATTTCCGACTATTCTTCAGTATTTGTGATGTTTTACATGTTGGATATATCTTCCTTCAGAAATTCTAAATTTGTGATAGTTCGATATATACATACGTGTTGTTTAGAAACGATACAATGGGTTTCAAACGGTTCTGATTAGCATTTACAGTTAGCGCCCATTGTAAAACGATTGAAATTTGCTGCGTTTTATAGTAACGGATTTTTATTAATTAGCAATATTTATTAACATTTAGCATTAATTGGTCAAAGTGATACATATATCTATGTAGCGACTCAGAGTAAACCAAGCAGTGTATTTTTCTAAATTTTAAAAACAATATTCTTGCGATAAGGTTTCCTTGAATCATCTTTTGATAATTACAAGCACGTTCTGAACAAATACGATTTTATAGGATGCAGATTCTTGCTGATGTATAAGTATAGTAATGAATGCTTCTTCATTCATACTGAAAATACTGTAAAAATGCAATGAGATTCAGTTGCTTGATATTGAAAGTGAAGCCTTCCACTGGATTTTGCAATTTTAATTGTACATTTCAGTAACTAACACCAATAGGATTTTACTTGAAAGTTCCATAGAAATATTTTTGTAATTACAGTTCCTTTATTTTATTTTATTTTATTTTATTTCGTATTTTTAATACTTATTGCTCGAATATTATAAAAAAAAAATCCAGTGAGTTGACTGTGCGAATTAGTTCCTAGTCCAATGGAAAGTGATATGTATTATAAGTCTCATTTCGTATTAGTAATTTTATTAAGTAAAACATGAAGGCTTGATTTTCAAATTCATTCAAACATTTGTATAGGAGTTAGCAATATAGACTAGAGTGTTTCAGATAATTATCTGTGGTAACTTGCATACCTTATGTGATTATTAGAGAGTTAGGGAAAATTTCCATGTGCCCTAGCTAGCTGACGCTACTCACCTAACTTCTCTGCGTAATTTAAATATGAGAATAATATAGCGGACAAGTGATAAATGTGCAAAAACCATACTGATGTGTGGATATATTTTCTTGCACACGATTATCGTTTTTGAACACAAGCTAGTGATAATACTAGTTACTTTATACACATATTAAATTATATAAATATATATAAAAATATATAAATATATAAATATAAATATAAATATCTATATATATATGTATATATATGTATATATTTATATTTATATTTGTCATGTTCTATACTATTGTAAATGATACAGAACACTAGACTCCACAAATACATGTACGAAGACTGATCTTGGTATGTCCCATTGGCTGTATGATTAGAAAATCGCACAAAGTGTTCAGATTCATGAGGATAAAAATAATCACTTCGTATAGTCCTCTTACAACTTCCATTTATTTATTTTGTATTTATTATTTTAATTTGCAAACATTATCTAATGGATAAGATGATGTTTTCCAATTGATTTGTGTGTTCCTAATAAATTAAACAAACGAAACAAGTTTACAAGTTACAATGAAGTTATGATTGGATTGTGATAAGTTATCAGTATTTTTTAAAAGAAACTGTATTATATTTCTTGGAGAAACATTCCTTCCGTAAAATATATAGCAAATGGGACTATAATCTAATTGCCAGCAACAAAATATTCGAGAGGCATTCTATTTTTTGTGATCTGTATTTTTTTAAACTCTCGTAGCTTTTTATAAACTTTTTAAAAATTTTCGTCCAAGACACAAACGAACAAATTATTGAAAGAGAGTTCGGCCTAATTTTAATTAGAGTAATGATAGTGAGATGCACCAAATTCTTGGAATTTATTTCATTCGAAAATATAAGAGGAAAGCAATACACAACGCACACGCAGTGATATATTCGAAAGAGAATGAACATATATTTACTTCGAGACATACATGCTACGACATGAAAGTTGGACTTAATGAGATTTTTAATGATATATGGAATTCATTTATGGTTGGAATCTCAACATATATGAGTATATATGTATATATATATATATATATATATATATATATATATGATATGTATATATATATATACTCATAATTTGCTAGTTTAGTTTTATATAACTTTTTTAGAAACATTCTAATTCTACTTTATGTTCCTTTATACTATTCCTCTGCAATTACATATAGAAAAAAAGCATAGAATTTGGCAAACACTCTTTCATAGTGGTTCCAGAAAAAAATATAAAAAAAAACAATCTTTGTAAAATGCTCAAAAACTGTTAAGGAAAACGTGTTCCATGTTACGTAACGACGCACATTACAGCCTGGACACATTTTATAATCTTGTACCAGGCCTATTCTGTAAGTTTCTACTATAATTTTATTTTCATTCTGTTATATAATTATATAATAATAGATTTATTATGATTAAACGAATTGTGTATCTTGCCAATCGCTACGAATAATAAAGCATTATGTAAATTAATCTAACAGGTTGTTGTTTTAATTTTTAACAAGTCAACATCAAGGATATTTAAATTTCTACTTTTTTAGTATTAGAATAGGTCTATAAGGAGCGCATGGTGAGTCAGTCCGTGGATGGGTATGTAAATTACAATTAAGATTTTAAAACGTATTTTATTCAGCTTACAGAATAGGCCTGTGTATTTTGAAGTTTCACTTCTAATTTCTTTTTTTTTTCAATTATTTCTTTTTACTATATGAACAATATTTTTCTGATTTTTATCTATGATATAATAATTATTCTTTTAAAATGTGTTGAATACATAGCTTGAGCTAGATGATGGAAGAGAACTAACTGAGGGATTTTTACAAGAGGAGTTACATCCAAAAATCAGTTTACATCAGCCAAAATTCGCAAAGCCTAAGGGTCCACCAGGCAGAGGTGCAAAACGTTTAACCAAGGTCCAAGATTTAGGAACTTCAGACCAAGAGAGTTAAATAGAAATTCTTACAATTGTTGAATTAAGTATATGAGATGTATACATATAGATACATAATGTGTTCCTTTCTCGTTGAATGAAAAGTGTGTCTTCTTTTATCTCTACTTTTTTTTCGACTAAATGGTATTATGCTTTTCACGCACAGAAATGATTTTTTTGTATAAACCTTAAACAGAATTTGTTAGCTTTACTTGAGCATCAGGCCTATTCTGTAATCGTGATTTTAAACTGTATTGCTTATTATTTACATTATATCTTTACACTTTAATCTATAGAGTATTATAAAAATGTACATAAGGTTTGTTTATAGCGGTACATGGTAGTAATATGAATTGTGTTGTCTGATCATATCAAATTTATATATGTACTATATATATCCAAGGTAGGACATAATGCAATTATTATTTTTTTATATGTAAATGGTGTATTATGTACACATAAAGGGTAATAACTGTTAAATATTTCTCTTGTTCATAAATGTATGAAAAAAGTGGTTTAACGTAAACTTTTCAAAAACTTTAGAGACATTTTCCATTTAATCATTTTGTTTACCCTCTAAAAAATGTTAATATTGCTTCAGCTTTTTCATACATATATAGACAATAAAAATATTTAGGTGTTCCCATTTGCAAGCCCTCCACCTTGTGTATTCAATTAATATATAATTAATGAACCTTCAATAAAGCAGAATGCAATTTTACAAAATTAAAACTCAGTGTAAAGTTACATTGGACAGTGTAGGAAAATACGTGTAAAGATTACAACCAGTTTAATATATAATTTACATTGTTTAGAAATTATTAAATAAGTGAGAAACAATACAAACTAAATTTGTAAGCAATGATACAAATCATGAATATTTACATTGTAATTATATTTCATACAGTGTTTGCTACTTCTTCTTTCTTAATCTCAAGAATCTCTTTAAGAATTCTATTCTCTTCATACTGTCGTATTGTTTCTTTTGTTTCTTCGTCTATAGAACCATCTTTCATTTTACTGAAAAGTAATATTTAATTCGAATTAAATTAAATTTACCAATTAAGCTTATGACAATTGTAAGACTGTTGTAAACGTTTACCTTCGCCTTCTTTGTTTATATTCCAAATTTGCACTGTAAACCTGATCAATAGTAGTTCCACTTAAATATAACATACCCACTGATAAGGTACCATAAATAGTACCAAACAAGCCACCAATAACTCCAGCTGCGCAAATTCCTTTAAGCCCTAAGTGCAATTTAAATAAACCGCCTGATATGGCACCAGCCAAAGTATAATTTCTTATTTGATGTTTACCTCTGTACGTGTACAATGAAACTCCTATAGCTCTAACATAAAATTTTATATGAAGTTACATTTATATAGTTACATTGTGCTATATAATTATTAATTAGAAAAAGATCTCACTGATTGAAAAAGGCGAATAATCCAACCCTCCAGCCATATGATATGCCTTTACGGAAAAATTCAAGCGCAATCTGATCATTTAATAGTTTGTTCGCATGAATCTGAGACAAAAATTTTGTAGTTTGATTCTCCTTCTTGAATTTCTCTGGAACTCTCAACGCTTCTGTCAATCCACCAATAACAAATGATCCAATGCCACAGACAGTAGTTGCACTTATGATAGATTGTGACTCTTTGGTAAGTTCGCCGTTACTGTATCAGTAGTAGAATAATTATAATTTAAGTTAATAATGCATTAAAAAGTAACCAATTTTATTTAAGTTCAGTCATCAGTAGCATTAATTTTTACCTCGTTATAAGCATGTGTTTTAATCTCTCTGTACCTGAAAGCATTAAGGAATCTTCTCCTTCAACCGTAGGGTAAGAATCATCTTTCTTTTTCGTACGATCCACATCGAGAGAATTATAAGAAGTAAATGGAAGGACAAACGCAACTAACACTCCCCTATTCATCTTAAAACGCAGCATAATTCCTTCTTTCTTACTTAATGCTAAAGATTTAGGTTATATTACAACAATATCTATGACCAAATTTAGTCACACTATAATAGTTCGTACTTTCTTGGCTTATATTTTACAAACTTTTCCAAAGCCAATTAAATCCATATATTATTAAATTTGAATTATTTTTTCATTTTCCCTTAACACTGTACTATTGAAATATCACTTCGAATCGATAGTAAGCATTTTGATAGCTTTACATGAGAATTGAAATCATTCGATAGACCTGTTGATAATTCGAATCGAGTGTAACAGTTTTGTGATTGTTTAAGTTTATCATAAGTTTTTAATTATTTTTCATGTTCCGTATTCTCTTGATTTACGTGTATAGAGATTTGTGTTTATATTGTTCAATAAGAGGAACAGTTTTAATTAAGTTCAAAAGATTACAAAATCATAAGACTCCATGGCCAGGGAGCTAGACCTTGTTAAGTAAAACGAAGGCGGTGTCTACTTTCGTATTGTACACTTATTTAATTTTCTATTCCCATTTTTCTTCTAGTTTACAACTATATTGTGATTCTTTTATAATACCGTTGATTAATGATATTAAACTATTATAATATCAATTATGATATTGGGTTTGCAGTACTGCATTCAAGATTATATTATACATAATAATGTGTAGACGCAATTGTAACATGATGATTGCGATTATAGTAAATAGTATAATCACGTTTGTATTTATAATAGGGTTATCATAATGGTGATATAGTCACGCCTATGATTCTTATCATATACGTATTTACACTGTGTTACAGGTATTTACAACTATAGTTACTATCGTATTCAAAACTATATATATTTATGATTAAATCGTTAATTAAATCAAATCCATGTTATTTTATCATCATTTTATTTATGATAGTTAAGAAAACATATTTCTACAACGTGTAACTTATATCAACAAGTAAGTAGGCAATACAGTATCGGAATTTTTGTGACTATACTTTCTTCGTAAGTTTTCAACTCAACCATATAGTTTTAAGGCGGTAGTCCCACCGGTAAGCAAATACAAGGCTCTGAATGGTTCCTTGCAAAGTATGTCTCTTCCATGTTGGCTGTTTACCTATAAATAAAAATTTCAGGGCTAAGGAGAATCGTTCGTACGTGATGTTGGATACATTCTTGCATACATTCTCGTTACCGACCGAGTCACGTAACGACTAACGCAAACGGAACAAAATGCGACCAAATAAGATTTTCTTATGTTTACGGAATTTGTAATAATTGAGCCGCTTATTGGGCGAATCGGTTAACTGGATATTTTGAATTTTCAAAAATTTAAAAATACTTGATCGACTTTTAACTTTTTATATTTAAAATAAATTTCATTATCATTTGATTTCGTATCACGAAATAACAAGGATTTTTTTGGCCATGCAGAAACTGCAATAATACATTTGTAATAATATTGGATGGATGCGTTCATTTGGATCTTGGAAATTAGAGATTTAAAAACAGATAATTAGGTTACATATTCGTGTAATTGCATCAATCAAAATAGTAAACATTTACTAAATAATGTTTATAAAATTCAATATATTCAATGTATGCTACTGCATCACTTTTCTTTACTTATTGTTTTGCGAAGTTAACCGATTTAGCTAATAAGTGGTTCAATTATTCCAATATCGCGTGGACATGGGGGTTCTACCATTAGGCATTAGGAGTTTTCTTATAAGGGATTAGGCGGAACGATTTCCTCTGCTTTGTGCCGCTTCAGCTTGCAAGTAGTCGGCCACCTCGTGAGAAGTATATTGTTCTATTTAACTCACAAGATATTAAAACTATGACAGACAGCCATATGTACATCCCTTCTATAAGCCCATTTCTTCCAAGAAAACAGTATACCACATTTCACTCAAAGTACATGTCATTATTAATGCATTGACAGTCCTTTCTTATCAGATAAGTGAACACAATTTCATACAAAAATCAGCCCTGAAGTCTACATATTTAACCTTTCAAGGCCCATGAAATTACAATTTCAAATTAATAGTGCAATTCTGTCGATAATCAAACTTTAACATCCCACAGATTAAAGACACTATCTAGCAACAATAAAATATTGATTACATCAGTACATGTTTTGATAACACCAGCAATTACTCTGTGACTATGATTTTAGATTGAGACCAGTGGACTGTATGAAACTGAACGATGAAAAGATTGTTTCAAAGAGAAACCGCAGGACAGGACAAGGTTAAAGCATATTTAACAAATCTATTCCAACGATCATTGTCTATCCCATGAATTTGCAGGTGCGAGTCTAAAAGTCTTGGGGTCCCGCGAGAACCGTGATCATCAGAGGGGTGCATTCGAGGATTCCGCGCGCGCCGGCGTACGGCGGTCTCCTGACGTAACGCGTTGTTACGTCAGAACGTGGCTCCGGCATGCAAGAGGGATAGTACGCGTGGGTGTGCTGGCACAGGATGACGGAGTGGGGCGGGCAGAGGAGTGGAACGTCAATAGGAGAATCCTTTGCGTGCAGGGTGGGGTGATCAGCCGTGGAGAGGGGTTAGCGTAGGGGATCGCGGCGAAGGTGGACTGGAACCAGGGCTGTAGCGAGGCTCCAGGGATCTCGCGCCGTGAAACGGGCGCGTCGACCACGAAGTGCCTAACAACTGTTGAATGTTAACGGTAGCAACTTGCCTTGATTCGTTCGTTAAACATCGCCGAAGCGGACTGATACTGTAGAACCATCTAGACCGATATTTTCACGATCAAGTAATCGTTAGATGATAATTTACTTATGAACCTACTACTCATAAGAGACCTCTAGGAATTAAGTAAATTACGCGAGCTTTTCGAATGCCTATGCGACAGAATGAGGACAATTCAGTTGGTCATTGAAAGAGTCGCTGAGGTAGCTTTCACGAGACTGTACTCTGTGAGAACTGGAACAGCTTCTTGAAGATCTACTGCAGTATTGTCTACTTTATGTGTCGTGTATTATTTACACCGACAGACTATATTTGTTATTTTTATTTCCATTTCTACTCTTATTTTTGTCTTCTGTTTATACTCTATGTATTCTGTAAATCTTGCTCGAGATTCTATGGTCTTATATTGCCAAATTAATGAATTTATATCTGCTTACCGTGTTTCATAGCAACGCGTGTTTATTGTATTGTACATTTATCCACTCGTCGCAAAGGCGTAGGATTGTATCCACCCCCGCCGACTATTGTAAGGCCGAGGGAACGTTATTCGAACATAAGAGTGATTTACCATGCACTTTTGCAACATGCGTTTCGACGAAAAATGTCATTTTCGAGGAACTTGATTTTGGTCGAACCTTCGTGTTCGAAAATGTTCCACGGTATACAGCGCCCTATACACTATAACGACCGGGCAGCCCTTGTTTTTACGAGGTCGTGGCTTCTTATCGGCCAAGATTCTCCCTTCAGTTTTTCCCCTTGTCCTCTTTACGACTACTGTACTGCCGGGAACGACACGCTGTAGGTAAAAGCCATGTCTGCCTCGCGTAGTTTTCGGAACGCTCGGCTCGACAGCACACTGGTCCGAATATTTCAATGTGTTTATTATAATTATCATGCTGAAATCTATCGATCGACGATTCCCGGACACCGGACACGCTCCGCTTCCGACGGCCCGGCTCGCTAGAATCAACAACCTCTTCAACGTCGAAACACGGGAAACAGCGGGACGCTCCAATTTTTCATGATTGTTCGCTTAACAGGTGTTCAGGGACAGTTATAGAATAGCAACTTGAAGAGGACATCCGCGATGTTCTACAGTTTCGTTCAGTAGCCACTTAAAAGAAATTCAAGGAACTTAACGCTAGAACTATCACTTAGGTCTAAACAACCTGATCTCTTATTTTCCAATTACTGAAAAGATAATAGGCTATTCTCAGAGAAATAACTGAAGCAATTGACTTAGTAATACGCAAACTGGATTGCATATCAATAGAAATCTTAATAGAGCCACTTTTGGAGTTTCTATGGGACAATTTCAAAATGTCAGTTTGACTATGTGGTAGCTTTAGTGTTAAAGAATCGTATTTCAGAAGGTTGAAGACAATGTCTTTCATGGCCAAGCCCTACGAGCATTTAGTTACTGGTAGTTTTAAAGTTAAAGAATCATATTTTAAAAGATTGAAAATGTCTTTCATAGACTCTAGCATGACCCAGCCACCGGTAACTTCAGTGTTAAAGACTCATATGTTTCAAAAGGTTAAAGACGACGTCTCCCATTGACAGACCTTAGGATGATTTAGTTACTGGTAGCTTTAGACTGCCTCTTGGAGACTCTAAACCCACGACAGACTTGGAAGAGGTCGAAATGAAGATCCTGCCTGATATTATAATAGGAAGACCTTAAGCACCGAGAAGATCCAACGATAAGGTCTGCTGCTGGGAGCATCAGTTTCAAGGGGATTCGAGTTAATCATTGGCTCGCCGGCTGATAGGAGAATACACGGAATACCGGCGGAGAGTATTCCGAATATCAATTGCACGGAGCTCGACTTCGCCTCTAGTCCCTGTTAGCAGCTCCAGTTAAGGAACGAACGCCTCGGTTATTATTGTTCCCATTCTCCTTTAATCGCGACGCGGCGTTTGTGCCCGGTTGGCTAGATCATGGCAGGCGTTTCCATATCTTCTCAGCGGTGCGGGCTCGCGACTTCCGAGCTTACGGGCCGGATCAAAATAAGTCCTGTCCATTCAACCAGTCCAGAAAGCCCGACACGGTCTAGATAAACACGTATCTAGACGGCACGTCTGCGTACACCATTGAGCCGGGGGTGGTTTCGAAGCCACGATGCGGCAGGGGTGGCTCTCTCGGCGGGGATAAGCTGTCCTTGTCGTAGGGGTGGCGGTCAGGGCCGTAGCCTTTTCAGGTCCCGTTCGGAATGGGCACCCAACTTTAACCTTTAAGTATGGACGTGAATTTAACCTTTGATACTAGGTTTACAGGCATTTACTGTACAGTTTGTTCTATTGGTCTTAGAAATATTGACGCTTGTTCACTTAGATTTTGGGAATTAGAGGTTTAACGCTAGGTTTACTGACGTTTATTGCATCATTTGCTCTGGTGATCATAGAAAACTTGATGTTTATTTAGATCTTGGAAATTGAAGGTGTAGATGTAGATAATTAAAATACACATTTGTGTTATTGTGTCATTTAAAATTGGCGTGAACCTTTACTAAGCAACGTTTATAAAATTCAATATCCGTCAGATTGACGTGCTTTGTAAACCTGGTGTTAAGTATGGAAGTCTGAAAATGACCTGTTAATGTTAAACATTCTCGTTTGCAGCAACTAATGAATGAATTTAGTGTAGCTATATCTTTTTACTTGTTTAAATATCTCTACATAGAAATAATATCAGTGATTCACAATAAACGATATTTTCTATAGAACTTTGTAGGATCGCGTGCCCATAAATCAAGCTTAACACCGAAAGAGTACTTGCTGTTTCTTTTCTGCTACTTCATTATTGTCTATCCAGTAAACAAGCAATTAATATTATAATATTCTGAATAATTAATATGATCTAGTAAATGTCTCGCTTCCGAATAATTAGAAATCAGAGGTGTGCTGAGATAAAAGAGTATACTTTCAACGACAGAGTAGAATAATTCTTTCATAGAGGATAATTGAATAATCGACGATCCAATCATCTATTTTAATCGTGATTCCAATCACGATGGACGTTATCTTGACGTTCAAACCGATCGAGCGATTTTCAAAGAAATATTCACGTATTCACCGGATGATTAAGGATTAACGAATATCCGTCCGACGAAGCGAAACGATTCAGGGATCTTGTTTGGCGGTACAAGCGTTTGACTTGTGAAAATTCAATGAATTATTGGGAAACGCGGCTTTCCCTATTTAAAGAATCTCCGGTGAAGTTAACGAAGACCTCCGGGCAGGTGTCTGCGGAATT